CCCCCCCCCCGTCTGCCCAGCCCTGCCAAGCTTCCCCCGGTGGGTCCCGATGGATGGCATTGTGTGCGGATAAGGGATGCCAAGCTTCCCCCGGTGGGTCCCGATGGATGGCATTGTGTGCGGATAAGGGAGCAAAGGCCTCTGCTCTGCCCTGCCCTGCCCTGCCTGGGGGCTTCCCGCCAGACTGCCGCCAACGCCAAGACGCTCGGTGCTCCGCGCGGGCCGGGGGGACGCTGTTGTCGGTATCCCCCAGTGCGGCGAGGCGGTGGGAAGCTCGCGTCTATAATTTGTTAAAATGATACCTTCTAAAAGATTTCATGTGTGCAGCCATTGACAAGTCGCTAAAACTCATTAAGTGGCCCTCCAGCCAAAATAATTGCCCACCTCTGGCATAACAGCTTCTGCTTCCTATTTCATCCACTATACAGCCGGACCCCGAGTTACGTGGGGGATACGTTCCTGAAACACACCGTGTAAGTTGAAACCGTGTAACTGGAGGCATCGTGTCAATGGAAAACTGGGGGATAGGGACCTGGAACCAAGATTTGATAACTTTGTTTTATAATAAAAGGATATTTAAACACAAAATAATGGAATTAATAGCCTTATTAAAACCTTTACTCACAAATTATTCATCTGATGGAGGATCATCTGGCTGCACTGCGTTATCTGGCTTCTCCTTCAGAGAGGTGCTTGAAGAAGGAGGTGATCCTCTACTGCTTCACATTCCTATCCAGTTCCTTCTGGAGCTCCTTATTGTGCGGGCCAGGCGCGCCCCGAGCCCTTCTTCGCGCTGCACGCGGGCTGTGGCCAGCAGCCCGGGCACGCGGGGGAGGAGAGGGGTGGCTTTCGCTCTGGAATTAGGCACGGACGTGTATCGGTAGTTTAAAAGATTGTTTACTTACACCGAGATGGCACGGGTGGGGTACGTCTAGGAATTCTATCGGCGATGGGGAGAGTCTGGAGATTGATCAGATCTCCGTAGCCTGCTTCAAATGCACTGGGTCCGTGAGGATCCGCAGTGCTTAGAGATCTTCACACAGCGTGAAGTCTCCTCCTCCCTTGTTCGTGGAGTCCTCCAACTTGGGCGGAAACCACTCAAGCCTCTTATACGGCTAGCAAGCCAATCACTAGCCGCCACGTGTGAATAATTTAGAACTGGCCAATAATGGGACCCAAATCTACATACAGATGACGGGAACTCTTTGCAACGAGCATTTCTGTGCTGCAACAAAGAAATGCACCCTGCAAAGAAAGCTTCAAATTGGCGGGAATTCTCCCTTGCACCGGGATTCTCTTTTGCAGCAGAAAACTCCACCGTGCAAGGAAGCTTACAATTTAGCGGGGACAATTTAGCAGTGCCGAAGCACACACAAATAAAAATCACACCTTTTGGGTTGTGACACTTATAACGTGAAAGGAGTTGATCTAAGTCCCTCTTAAAAGTTGAGCCTCCTTTCCATGATGGGGTCAAGTTCACGATCTCTTTACTCAAGTAAAGTTGTTCCTTACACAGGAACTCTTGAATGGCTTTAGCAGTGAAGACTGGCTTAGCAGACTGTTTCTTCTTCTTCCTCACTGTCGCTGCTGCAAGCTGCTCAAGTTCCTCATTTGTTGGTTCCTGTTGGTGGGAATCGAACAGCTCAACCACCTCCACATCCTCGATGTCTTCAAATCCCTCTCCTCCCAGCCATTTGGCCAGCCTCACGATGTCAGGGATTTGGTTGTCGATGGTGGGGAAGCCTCTGAAGTCATTGACGATCTCAGGCCAGAGTTCGTGCCAACAGGCATTCAAGGTTGAAGGTTTGACCTCCTCCCAAGCTTCCTGGATTATGCTGATGCAGTCCAAAATGTATCCCTTCCAAAACTGTGTCAGATTCTCCACTCTCCCTGCATCGATTGTGTCCAGTGCCTGTCTGTAGAGCCTCCTGGTGTAATAAGACTTGAAAGTCTTAATAACACCCTGGTCCATAGGTTGTAAAATTGATGTAAAATTGATGTCGTGTTGGGAGGCAAAAACAACAGAAATGCTGGGATGAGCAAAGGACAAAGGGTTAATCTATCTTTAAATGCCTTGAAACCACTGGCCACACTTTGTTATTTGGTTAAATAAGTCCCGTTACAATAAATTCTTGTAAAAAGAATGTTGTTCATCACAGTTGAAAACTTGGGCAGGTTTGTAGCCTTTATCTTAAATAAATTCTAAAAACGCTGGCTTGAAATTGCTAGCACTGTCCACAATCGACAGATCCTGCTTTGCCTTGTAATTTCACATTTTGCAGATTATACCGCTGAACAAATCTGTACAGCCAACCCCTGCTAGCAGCAAATGGCTTGGCATCACTACTCCCTCCTTCACTCCCGGCTATGGCTCATACAGAGACAAAGCTTTAGCCCTAATTGCTGCACCATCAACAACTGCTCCTTTTGTATTGGTCATTTAATTGATGCAAAGATTAAGGAGTTTCTCAGCCTTATCTAAATGAGGAATTCTAGTCACCAACGACACTCTCGAACTCACAGGGGTTGTCGTTTTCACACAGTCTCTAATTTTCTGCTCACTTTTTTTAATAGTATACACAGTTGATTTGTTGGCTACAAATGTCCAACTCGGGATCCTTAAAATTCTGGTTTATTAGGCGGATTGAAGCACTGTAATGAAGTTAAATCATAGACCTTGGGGCTGGTCCCCACACACACACACACACACACACACACACACACACACACACACACAGAGGAGCAAACTACAAGAGTCAGGTATACCTATCCTACAAGCGCTGGAGTCTGCCGTCAATGGCCAGTTGAGGCTTCTTTCAGCATGGTGTTATCCTCCAGAAGGGGGTCGCCGGCTGGTCCTTCTGGCTGGACAGGTCAGGTGCTGGTCGAGTTGGAGATCAAGAGGGCGCCACTGAGGGTCACTTTTCTGGATGGCATCTGTCAGCCCCAGGGGTCGTCTGCATGTACGTGCAGGTTTGGGAGTCCGTTGATGAATTTTGAATAGGGCTCTGGGAGCGGTCGATCTGGAGATATTCAGCCCAAAAGTTGGTCCCCGGTGTTGATTAACTCAGGCCAGGGCTTCTAGCCCTTGATCAGTGATGTTTAGAGATGTCCCGGTTGCTACATTGTCTTCTATTGATTTCTTCCGTTGGTTGATCTGCAGTTTCCTTAGGTGTTAATTGCTGTCTGCTACTGTGTTACGCATTCAATCACTGATTCACTTCCTGTTTCAGGGGCCCGCCTGATACAGGGAAGCGGCAGTATGACTCCTGCTCTTGTTAACATTGTTACTAAACACATTTATAGTTGGAAGTTGAAAGGTGAGGGGTATAAAATATAAGCTACAAATGTAATGCCATGGCACACAAATAGATAAAAATACCAAAATACAAGGGGAGATACAAAATGCGCACATACAAATTTTAAAACACAATTCCTAATCTTAAAGTGAAAGAAAGAGGAAGGAAGAAAAGGTAGAAGAGGAAAAACATATTCAAAGAGGGGAGAGCAAATGCAGGCAAGAGGAAAAAGGGGCTTTCTTCTACAGATTCACTTAAATTGTATTGGCAAGCAATCGATGCAGCACTATTGCCTTCTCTTAATTTATCAAGGATTTCTATTTTCTGGGCCAGGGAAATAGACTTACGTGCTCTTTTGGGCACAACATCAAAGGCTTTCTTTGACGCCATTTTCACAAATATTCAGGGGTTAACGTTACCAAAAATGATGGACAATCTTGGAGGAGACAACAAGTGATGCTAACGCATGTTAGCAGACTCCAGACTAACAACCACTCTAACAGCGTAAACATGAAGGAGGGTATCACATGAGTTGAAACGTGGTCATGTTATATAAAGCATGTATACGTGAATCAGTGTAATTCGAAATCGCATAACTGGGGGTCCGACTGTATTCCTTCTTGAGGTCCTGTCCTTTTATTGTCTGTCTTGTCTTGTAGGTGAAGCAAAAGGACACCTGCCTGCAGTGTCTTTCTCCCATGCTCTTTCCAAGTGGTTCCAGATTCACAGGGCACCATGGAGGGGAACTCAGAGAAAAAAGTGAGATAATATCTATGCCTTCAGTGTCAGCGCATAGCAGTGGTGGTGAAATATAACAGGGTTTGAGACACCTTAATGGCTTTGAGTGAGACACCTTGTTAAGCTGGGTCTGGAACAAACACACTGACATTTTTTTGCAGAAATCTCACCTTTTATAATTACAAGATAAAAAAAACAATACAGGAATTCTGACTTACTTTAGATATTGCCTGGCCCAGTGGTCTAAATGTTTTTAGATTAAAGTCTCCCTTCATTGGACTCTGTTACCAATAGGATTCTTTTTGCCAGCGACCCCCAAGAATTGACACGGCCTCTTGTCCGATATGGTATTAAGTAAACTGCATTAGTAACCCCTAGACAAAATTACAGGTTTCCTCCCCATAATACTACCTGGCAAGTGGCTGCTTAGACATTTCAGCGGCAACCTTCTGGGTCCTCCCCTGGGTGCGTTTCTGGCTGTTTGAGTGAAAAGTCCACAGTTGCCCCTGTCTCCCCACAGATACAAGATGAACACACACCTTTTCCTTTGTTTGCCCATTACTTTTGTAACTTTCTTATCCCAAATTGTCTAGTTCCCTAGCACTGCGCCAAACATTTCTTATATGGTACACCAAGCCTATCTTTCTTTAGGTTATCTTTCCTTATAGGGAAAGTGCTATATATTGCTCACTTACAGTACTCGGATTACAGCATTTACTACTTCCAATGCCTTATAAGGCACTCTGTTCAATTTTATTGTTTAGTTCCAGGAAGGCCTGGACTATGGCTAAAAGCCTTAGCATAACTCAGTTTGCCTGCTAGAAATTCAAGGCACTCCTTGGAAAATGCCAGCTTAGCTTTCACTCATTTTTTAACTAGAGAAAAATACTACAGCAATTCTCCTGGTGCCAGGAACTCAGAAAGACCACAACAGGCCAGAGTGTTTTTGACACTATGGGTTCCTATTTGAAATCTCTGGGTTTATCTTCTGAATCGTGTAGGTGTTTGCACATCTAGCAGTGCTAATATTGAACAGCAGTCTCTTGGCACCCTTACAAGGATTTCACAGCACTCCAGAGTGTCACAGTCTAGCCCCATAAATGGACTTTTCCCTCTCATGGGAGAAATCCTGAGGGTCTATCTGTAAGCCTGATAGGGAGTTTGCTTTCCACACCCATTGAGTCCTTGGCCTCATTGCTGATATTGCCAACAAGAAAACCAACTGCCAGCTTTGTCTTATTTTTATCCTGTGTGGACTCTTTGTCCCTGGGCTCCTGGCCCATCTTTGTCAGTTTTGCCCAATCAAGTGCTGCATATTTGTATCCAGTTCTAGGTGAAACTTTAATATCTCATTAATTTTCAGAAGATTATATTTGGCCTTTCCATGCATTTTTTTTTCATTTTCAGTCATTACATCATATGTCCTGGATGCTACTTGCTTTAGAAATGCAGCTCTCTTGTTCCAAGAATAAAAGTCTCTGATACATAATCCATTTTTCATTTTCAGTGGCACAAAATGTTCTGTTGATTTGTCAAAGCATTTTCTTTCTCATA